CATATTCTAATAAAATCATCAGATATCGAATATGTCAAGAAAGTAAGACAACAACTTCAAGTACAACAACAGCAATTCTATACAACAAATGGAGATTATAAAGTAGTAAAAAATAGTAGTAATGATAATAACAATAAGCTAATAATAAGATAATAATAAAGTTAAGCTCTCAAATAGGTTTAAACAACTAAAGGAACAATTAACATCTCATAATCAAAATCAAAATCAAAATCAAAATCAAAATCAAAATCAAAATCAAAATCAAAATCAAAATCAAAATCAAAATCAAAATCAAAATCAAAATCAAAATCAAAATCAAAATCAAAATCAAAAAGATGAAGCAGAAAAAGAAAAAGAAAAACAGATACTAACTATAAATAGTGTTAATAGAGCCCCATTTAAATTTAAAGAAAATTCATCATTTACAGAAAAATCAGATCATAATCAAAAAGAAAGGAACAACCACCATCATCATTTAATAACACAAGTAGATTACCATTTAATTTAAAGGCAACTACATCATTTACAGAATAGATTAATCACCAAAAGCAAGAAGATCTAAACACAGTTTTAAAAGAAAAGAAAAAACTACCATCTATATTAAATAATGATAATGAAACCCCCTCATTTAAATTAAACCTACCAATTACAGAAAAATCAAACCATCATCAAAACGATACAACTACAGTTTTAAAAGAAAAGGAACAACCATCATGATTTAAATAATGCTAATAGATCTCTATTTAAATTAAAAGTGAAACCAACATTTACAGAACAACTTAATAATCATCAACTTCAACAAGAGGAGATAGATCTGGATCAAAAGCAAGAAAAGATATATGAACAGGAGGAGCAAGAAGAGGAGCAAAATAAACTAGAAGAAGAACAAAAGGAGGAAAATGAAAATAATTTATTAGAACAACAAACAAACCAAAACACCCAGAGCAGCAATTTGGCAAAAAAAAATTAAAAAAATTAAACGATAGCACTAAATGGGTTCAATGGCTCTGGGTGTGCAATGATAGATGCCCATGGTACTTTAGCAATTAATGAGGAAGGAAGAGTTAAGTTAAATATTTCACAACAAAATGCAGACCATAAAAGCTTCATTGAAATGAAGACAAAATTAACTGGTAAAATTAAAATCGACGAAAAAACAAATACTATTAGCTTTTTATTAAAGGATGTCAACAGTGGTATTATTAGAGTTATGAATATTGGTAATTTTAGAAACCCAGAAAAGCAAAAACAATTTAGTGAAGTTTGTAAATTATATAAAATCAAATATAGAGAACAGGAGAAAATATCCCCAACCGATGGCTGGGTAGTTGGAATGTACGAAGCTTTATGCCATGCCCATATAAATATGAAAGAACTCTCTTTGACTTTAACATTTGAACATGACAACTATGAAGAGATTATCAAAAGCATTAAAAGGTAGATTGTCCCAAAATGAAATAACAGGTAAATATAAAGTAGTTTTTAAAGGCCTTTAAAAAAACTGTGCCTGAAATTGAAAGATTTTTACTTTACTTTAAAAGAAAATCGATTAAACTCAAGAAATCATATAAAGTGACAATAGATCCACCAATCGAGCCACCAAAACCTAAACCAGCTAGAGAATCAGATTTTTATAATAAGCAATATCAAGATGAAAAATTAAATACTTGGAAACATTTTATTAAAGAATATGATAGAATAACAAAGGAAGAAAGAGTAAATTCAAGAAAATACAGATTCCAAAATAAAATAAAATAATTAAGGAAAATGAAGATAATGAGGATGACGAATATTATGAAGATTATGAAGACAATGAAGACATTGAAGATTATGAGGATAGCAAACAAAGATAATAGTGTTAAAAATGTTAATATTTAAAAAAACCAATAAAAATAAATAAATATTGTATATTTATAATATAACACATCAATAACATTGGTTTATATAATACTAAATTAAAAAAATAAATAAAATGAATATAATATAAAAAAATAAAAAAATAATTTTATATTTTTAAAAAATTAAACTTTATTATATTTTTATTTGATTTATTTGATTTATTTGATATTTAATTTATTTATTTATTATTATTAAGAACTTTAGAGTTTTAATTTCTTTCATTGAAACCCTGCATCAATTGACTTCTGGCATATCGCTCTTGGTCCATAAACTACCACTTTAATTTTAATCAATCTGATGTTTGTATATTGTGATGTATATTTATACTATAAATATTCTTAATTAATGAATAAAAAAAAAATTGAACCACTTTGCATTTTTACTTTTGTGATTTTATTTTTTAAAGAATGAAATACATCATTATAATTGAGTTGTTATATAGAAAAAATAAAAATAAAAATAAAAAAATTATAATTAATTGTATACAATTTAATTTATTAAAAATAATTATAATTAATTCATCCCATTTTATAAATATAATTTGACTTATTATTATTAATTAATTAATTTATAATAACTTAAATTTATTTAATATTTTACTATATTAACATTATAATCATTTAAATTCATATGATTTTGACCTAAATTTAATTTTTTTTTTTTATTTTAATTTATTAAATTTTTTTTATAGTAATTGTTTGATTAGCTATATATTTTTTTTTTTTTATTTATTTTTATTTAAAGAAGACGTGTTGTCTTTTTTAATAATTAATTACAATAATGATCTATTGAAGAAATTAAAAAAATAAATTTGGTTTTGTTTAAAACACTGTTTTTAAAAATTAAAAATTAAAAACACTGTTCTTAAAAATTAAAAAATTAAAATTTTAATTTTTTAATTTTTTTTTTAATTTTTAATTGATTTTCATAGCTTATTTCAAAACTAATATATTAATTATCTTTTATTTTTTTTTAATAAATTATAATTTTTTAATTTTATTTTTTTTTTTTTAATAAATTTTTTTTTTTCTCTTCACTCACACTCATTGCATTTTATATATACACAAATCAACATTTATTTATTTTATTCCTCTTCACACGTCCTATACACGCATCTTTATATCTATGATATATTCAAAGATTATATAGTGTACATTTGGGAAGTATGTTTTTTATTTTTTTTTT